GGCAACCATAATGGTGGTCGAGTAGATCATGTTGTGCGGGGAGAACCCTCACTCCGCGCAAGGGGGATGATCGCACCACGTTGTGTTTAAATGGTCAAGCACCCTCGAGGCAGTTACACAGTGCTTACAACTGTCTCTGGAAGTGAAAGCACCAGAAAATACATTAAGTCATACGCAGCTGTCATCCGTACGCAAAGAAGTAAGCACAAGATGCCGAACACCCTTAGCAGGATGCAGCTCACCCTTCATGCGACTCGCCGAATACCTCACGGCGCTTCGCGCTTGGTGATGTGAGAGCCTGGTCCGGTGAGAACCCGGCGTGCTCCGTCCCGGCTTTGTAGGGATGTGAGGTCAATGGTCTAACGACTACGGCATGCACGACTATGAGTACACCCCCCCCCCCCCCCTCGTGGTGCTTGCCTCGGAATGGAAATGTTGTAGTTTTCTCTTCAGTAGGTGCCCATGTAGTAATCAGGCTTGCTCCTTTGCTCGCCGCCATTCAGGAAGTTGCCTCCTGCGTTGGGAACCTTCCAACCTCCTTCAAATCGAGTCGTGCTAAACTTAGGCATACATGGACAACCGTCACCCTCTTCACGGGTACGGTACAGGTCAACGAACATCGACACCGCCTAGCCAATCGTGCCAACTGCTTGTAAGAAGAAGCAAGTATGAGTGCTGCTGTACGACCCCCCCTTCCCGCACGTGTGGTGATTTACCACACGTCGACGAACAGCGATACAAGCGCCTCCTTCGACCGAGGGGCGACGACCCCGTTCGCCCTGTGGGATACCCCGACCTCCTCCGCACGGCATCAAGAACAAGAACACCGACACCTGTCCGACGCCGCCGACGCCGTTCCTTCGGGCGAAGAAGCAGCAGCGGGGGCCCCGCGGATACCAGTCGACGGCGACGAGGGCGGGGGGGTGGCGTTGGGTTTGGGGGGAGCGGCTGTGTCGGGCACGGCTGTGTCGGTGCTGTCTCCCGCGGACGTGCTGTTTTCGCAGTGGTTCCTTCACAAGGACCTCATAAGGCTGCTCTTCCGAGAGAAGTGGGCGGGGGTCGCGTCCGGGAACGGGGGCAAGGGCGGGCCTGCGGTGAGAGATAGTTTTATTTAGTGGTTCCGTGTGTTGTGCTGTGCCGTTTCGTGACAGGATTTGCATGCTGTATTATTTATGCTCGGTGAGAGGTAATGTTTTTGAGCGCTCCCGTGTGTGTGCACATGAGTTCGTAGTGCGCACTCGCTGTGCTGTTTCATGACTGGAGGAGTATGCCGTGCTTTTGCTTCCGCCCGATTGTCAGTCGCTTGCCAGTCGAGACCACCACCACGCCTTGTGTTTTTTTGCTATGCTGGTTATTTTGCTGATCGGTGTTGTGCACGCGTGAGAAAGTTAAGGCGGGTGGGGCAAAGGGATGAGGTTCTTAATGCGTTGTGTCGCAGTGTTTGGCGTGACGCGGGTCTCGATCAGTTTGTGTGCGGTTTCGATGTAGAGATGCGGCTCCGCCACCTCTTGTCGCCTCTAAACGACCGCTCGTGCGTCTACCCTCCTGCCCCTTCTCTCTCGTTTTCTGCGGCTTCCTCCTCTGTCTGTCTGTCTGTCTGTCTGTCTGTCTGTCTGTCTGTCCGTCTGTCCGTCTGTCTGCCTGTCTGTCTGTCTGTCTGTCTGTCTGTCTGTCCGTCTGTCCGTCTGTCTGCCTGTCTGTCTGTCTGTCCGTCTGTCCGTCTGTCCGTCTGCCTGTCTGTCTGTCCGTCTCTCTCTCTCTCTCTCTCTCTCTCTCTCTCTCTCTGTTTCTACCTCTCTGACTATCTCTCTGTCTCTCTCTCTGTCTCTCTGTCTCTCTCTGTTTCTACCTCTCTTTCTCTGTTTGTCTGCCTCTCTCTCTCCTCCGCTCCCTCACACGGCTCCCACAGGCGCTCGCCCTCTCGTACAGCCTGAGGCGGTACGCCGGCGTCCCAAGCTACGTGCTACCCTCGGACCCTGCCCTCCCAGAGTACAGCGGGAACATGTCAGCCGGGCTGCCCCCCGGCAAGCTTGACATCCAGGGTATCAGCAAAGCAGCAGAAGCAGCCGCGGTAGCAGCGGGATTCGCTCGCCGAAAGAAAACGTTCCGGCGGCGGACCAGAGACGCCCCCGACCAATCGAGGAGAAGGCTAGCCAGAGATGGTGCTGTTGCTGCCTCTGCCCCCGATCAATCGAGGCGAAGACTAGGCAGCCTCGCGTCGCCATCGGACCGAAACTCGAGAGCGTTACAGGCGGCCAGCGGCGGCCGCGGCGATGCTTCTGCTAGAGGAGACACCGACGGTTCGCCCTCCTCGCTTGTGCGGCGGCTGGACGAACCGCAGCTGCGGGCGCAGTTCCGAGACCTCTCGGCGAGGGGGGGGCAGTTCTTCCGAACCGCCGACCACTCCCCCGAGGACCTGGTGCTCATCGTCGTGGACGGCCGGGACCAGGCGGAGTTACTTGGGCCTCTCTACCGGCAGATCGTGGAGGGGGGCGGGGCAGCCGCTTCGGGTGGCGCAGAGGTGTTTATCGTTTTGGTGAGTTTTTTTTTTGGGGGGGGGGTTAGTTTGCGGGATACTCGTGTTTTTGCATGGTCTAGCTGTTGGCGTCGCTTCACAGGGGGTGGGTGGGGGGGGGTACTCATAGTCATGTATGCCGTTGTCGTTAGACCATTGACTTCGCGTCCCTATAAAGCCGGGACGGAGCACGACGGGGTTGGGGTTAAGTTTGGTTGTGGTGTTGGCGTTCTAGCCCCGGCTGGAGTTTCTCAAACCCATGCTCGCATACTGGGAGTTGTAACGCTCAAGCGTGTTTTGTCTGAAACAGAAGAGGTCAGGGACGTCCATCACAGCGAAAACGATCTGGGAGGTTGCCGAGGCCCGGACCAGTTCTGCGGCGAGCGAGTGCGCTGTTTTTGTGTGTTTTGTGTTTCGTGACGTGGGCACTGGATAGCATGGGGCCCTTGACCGCCTGAAACTATGTACGCGTCCACTAGTCAACCAATAGTACTGACAAGTATTCTTTCCTTGGCAGTACTTTTCCAGCTGAACTGGAGATAAAAAATTGTGTGTATGTGTCCCACACGCTCGCACACGCGCCATATGATCTGACTTCCCCAACATTCGAAATTGAATACTGTAACCACACGCGTGGTTCCGCAACACAGATAACGCATGGCCCCGACAGTGTCGGAGATGAGACATCCCCACAGCAACAGCAGCAAGAGGCTCTTGGAGCCCCCCCTGTGCGTACGACAGCTCGCCGCGACTGCAGAGAGGTAGCCGAGGCACTAGGTGTGTCCCCGTCGAAGACGCCAGCAGACGGCGGCAGCAGCAACAACAACGCCGGTCGAAGCAAAACGGGTGGGGGTAACGGGGACATGAACCACCTAATACAGCGACCCAGGGGGCTCGGTGAAGTGTTCGGCGAGGGGAAGGGGGGGGGAGAGACGAGGTGGGACCAGCTTACCAGGTGGCTGGGTGGCAAGGCGCAAGGGTCGGACGAGATGAGAAGGTGGGGGGAGGGGTCTGTTCTTGTTGGAGTCGGGATGGTGTAGGATGTGAGCGGTAACCGTTTTGCAGACTGGGTTGTCGCTGTTGCTGTTGCTGTTGCTGTTGCTGTTGCTTAAGTTGATGGGTGGTGTTGACATTGTCGTTGTGGTTTGTATCGTGATGGTGTGGATGCTGTTATCGTTGTTGTTGTTGTTGTTGTTGTTGTTGTTGCTGCTGCGTTTCTCATGGTGGTTAGTTGTGTTGTTTCTACTGCTCTGCAGCAGCTGTTGCTGTTGTTCTTATTGTTATGCTGTTGCTGCTGCTGTTACTTTGTATGTTATGGTTGTTGTGATCATCGTGGTCGCGATAACCCGGCCTTCTCTGCCCTTCCGCCCTTGGTCCTCCCTTGGCTCCCCTTATGACGCTGTGCGCAGCCACCGCTTCCTGACCCCCGAGGAGTTCTGCCTCGGACACGCCTTCGGGGTTTTCCACGTGAGACGGCAGCTGTTAATTTCATGAACACCGACCGTGCTGACCGGCTGACCAATGAAAACACGTCAATATTGCTGCGGATACACGAACAACGCGAACACGCTTCCTTTCAGTCATCGAGGTCCCCCAGCAGGGGGGGCGGGGGGGGGGGGGAGGTTGTATGATAGCGGGGATCCAGCCTCCGGATTCAAAGTACTTGCAAATCGGAGAAGACTCACCACTACCACGTACCACTCCTGCCACGTGTGTACCTGTGCATACGTTTGTGTTGTTTTGCCAGGTGCGGGTAGGACAAGACTACAGGCAGGCGGCGGGAAGACCACTGGACCCCTTCTTGGAAGTCTATCACGGGCTTTCGGAGGTGCTCCAGTTGACTGCGCCCAAAATCGTGGCCTACATCGACGCGCCCCATGAGCATGAAGTACTTCCAAGTAAGAAATCTGCTGCTAAACACCGTCAACACACTTGAATTATCGTACGTCTCGTATTCTCTTTGAAAAATTTTATGGATGTTTGCTGTTGTTGAAGCTAGAGAACGAACGGGCGGGTTATGATCTAGGAAGCTAAAAAAGTAAACAGTGATATTTAGTTTTGTTGCTCGTCTGTGGTTGAAGGCGTCTCGGTTGGGGGTGACGAGCATCGCCGTCCTCGCTTTTCCTGATGGAGACGCGCCCTACCTTCTAGTGCCATGTGCATTGAATTAATGCCATGTTCGGTATTTTGCTTTGTATTGTAGCCGCCGAGAAGCGGGCAGCGACGTGGGGACGCTCGCACGGGATGTAGGTTTCCCCTGTGCTGCTGTTGTTCCAGCTCGCTGGAGACTTACCACGTGCTGCGAAGATGCAGCCCAAGCCCTCCCTTTGCCCTTCCTCTCTCCCGCCCCCACGTTGGAGATGATCATGATCATGATCTGATCATGATGATCATGATGATGCCTGGCCAACGCCGTACAGCAGTCGACTTGAAGAGAACAACTGTCGGCGGATGAAGTGGGGGGGGGGTACCTCCCACCCTCAGCAGCCTAAACCCCCCTTCTTTTACCGTCCATCGTGCCCCCCCCCAGGCGGCGAGGCGAAGAAGAAGAAGAAGGGCAGACCCACCGCGCTGGACGCAATGTTGGCGGCTCCGTCGGACTATGCTCCGGAGGAGACGGTGGTGAGGGCCGTGGAGGCGGCGGTGAGGAGCGCAGGGGGGGGAGGGTCTACCCCCCGTCCGATCGGGATGCCGCTCCCGGGCGGTGCCGCCGCTGGAGCGGAGGCCGCGAAGGTGCAGTCTGTTCTTTGTGGTAGTAGTGGTTCTGGAATTGGTAGTGTTGGCGGTGTCATGTGATCCGTGTAGCAGCACCATATCTTCCACACCGTGCAGTCACAGAGAAATTGCCGACGTCCTTGCATCCATGCTGCTGCTCCTCCACACATCATGAACAACAACAACCCTGCGATGGGTTATACGACCGTTTCTCCTGCTATACATATATCCTTATGCAGAAGTTTGGTCCTAACAATGCCAACATCTACCCTCGCGCAGGTGCTAGCGTATCTCCCCGGGGGGTCCCTGGAGCGATGGAAGAAGCCGGCCATCACCCTCGTCCTTGTTCATTCCACCCGCGAGCCCGCCACCATGCTGTCGCGGTCTCTCTGGGCCCTCTCTGAGGCCTACTACGTGGGGGACAGCGTGGAGTTGCGGCTTGTGCTAGACCCCAGAGCTGTGGGGGACCCCATGGTGAGAAGAAAGTCGCACCCCCCCCGCCCATCCTCTTCAGCATTGCATCGACTGGAGTAGCGGAACGCACCGATGACAGAGAGAGGCAATTTAGACAGTCGCTGCTATCTCTTGCATTCTAATATTTCTTGTCACAGCTGTCACTTGGCCGATTCGGGATATCACGGTAGGCTTTCCCTCCTCCGTTCCTCTTTTTTTCTCTCTCCCATCCGACGAGTGCCTGTACCTATGTCCTCGCCCCAGTGGGTTGGTGTCTCATGAGTCAGTCCTGGGCCACACGGCGCTTCCTAGCCGTCGACTAGTTTGACAATCCAGCCTTCAACCCGTCGAGACTGTTGTGTAGTATTCGCAGCGAACGCTGGTTTTATTGGCTACAAGACCCGTGTGAACGTTGTGGGATAGCTATGATAGCTCTCCTCGCTTACTCAGCCCGCGTTTGGGCTTCTCCCTCTCGAGTAGCTCATGCCGAAATCTCGAGCATCTCTCTACGCGTTGTTCCCGAAGCTTCAGCACGACTCTGAGCGGCTACGTAGTGAAGAGTGGAGTAGAGCGGCTATCAAGGCTCAGAGTCTCCGCCTCGAGCACTTTGGCACGTTGGTAAATTACTGTTGGTGTGAGCGATTTCAGCGCATGATGCGCAGAGTTTTGACCGGCTTTTTAGACCACTGATGTGAGGTCTTGGTATAGAGTATCACTGTAGGGTTCGCAATCGATAAGTTTTTTCTTGTTCAACATGCACTCGCGCGCAACGTCCGTACGCGGCAAACACAAGTGTGGTCATGCAGACCACCACCGCGTACAGCACTTGAGAATTTTGTCCGCTCTTTTCTTCTGTGTGTCTGCGGGGGCGTCGAGTGGACTAACCTTCGGTAAACCAACAACAACAAATATCTGACAACATCATCAACAACAACAACAACAACAACAACAACAACAACAACAACAACGACATCTAAAACACATCGCCTGCAGCAACAACAACGCAAACAACATCTAAAACACACATCGCCTGCCGTTCCAGATCGACAAGATTGTGAGGGATTTCGAATGGAAGTGGGGAAACTTGGACGTGACCTACTCCTCGGAACCTTTCGGCACCATCAACGGAGGCAGCGGCGGCGGTGACTCCGAGCTTCCCGCCGGACTCGCTGCTCTAGAGGCGTTTGGCGGCCCCGGGAAACACAGTCACATCATCCCCATGTTCTCCGGAGCCCGTCCGGACCCCAACTTCTACGCCTGGCTCAAGGTGCGACGGGCTGCTGAAACAGCAGTTAAAATCGTGCCCTGCTGTAGAGGGCTGCTGGCGATTGTTTGTTCGCTCTGCTATATGCATACGTTATGCGTCCCGTTGTGTGTGCGAGTCGTGCGGCTGCTTGGAAAAGGGTGGATGCTATCACGAGCCTTTCTACTGCTGTGCGTGCACCGATACCCCACCTCCCAAGATAGGTCTTCCCCAACACCAAGATAAAAGAACACCAACTATAGTAGAAAACTAAAAGTGCTTTGGTATTGACTGATTTTGTTTTGTCGACTTTTTGCCTACTAGAAGTACAACTTTTACACCCCTCCCTCACCCTGCTGCCAACGGTACACACCACCACCCCCCCTCCCCCCTCGAAACGAGAATAGGTCGCCGTCATGAACGAAGGCTACGCCCCCCGTCCCGTCCCGGGCCTGCCGCTGGAGTCCTGGCCTCTCCAGCGCTCCCTGGGGCTTGGCGACGGCAGCAAGAACTATGAAAACAATCCTCCTCCGGGGAAAGGAGACCTCATGCGAAGGAGAACCCCCGCCGACGTCATGCAAATGTGGGGAAAATTCCTAGCGCTGTCCGTGGACGTCCCGCAGGGCCCGTGCCCGGACGACGATCCTGGGGGTCCCGCGGGTTGCTCGCGGATGTGGATGTACGGGAGCGAGGCCTGGGGCGCGCTTAGGGAGCGCTGTCGGGCTGGCTTAGCTGTCGCTGGTGCTGGGGAGGCGGGGGGTGAGCGTGGACGGCCAGGGGAGTTGCAGCCGCTAGAGGTGGCGTGTGCGGTGGGGGACGTGGCGAATAGGGGGGACGACTGGGGGCTGGAGGCTGTGCACGTGTGTGGGGCAGGGCCGCGGGGGGATGGGGAGTGGCAGCGTGCGCGTGTTTGGGAGGTGTACCCTCTCCAGCGAGGGGGCTAGCACACGCGCGGTTGAGGGCCTCCTCTTTGTCGTTGTTGTCGCCTTGCTGTTGCCTCAAGTTGTGCGGGATTCCTTCTCCTTCTCCTTCTCGTTGAATCATCATCGTTTTTGTAGTATAGCTCGTGGATGGGTGGAGGGGTGTGTGCCTGCGTTGTCCCTGCAAGAAGCGACAGGTCAGGATACGTGATACGTGGTGCACAACGTATCTTTCCCGCCGCTGACAGCAAACAGCACGTTTGACAACACGCATTTCACAATACGGCAAAAGTGTCCCGTACGGGGCGTTTTTCCACGTCGGAGATGATGGCGTCACGCGAGTTGTTATCGTCTCGGTTTTGGCTTTTTTTTTTTATGATTACCCTGTTGGACCCTTGTCCTGTGGTCTTGCATAAAACTTGATACCAACAACTACCCGGCGTATGGGCTCGTTCCGCCGGTTAACAGCCAGTAGTGGGCGATGGAGAGGAAGGGAGAGGGAAAACGGCTACACACACCAGTGAATGCGTGATATCCCTCCTCGGTGTAGTGTTTGTTTGATTGCGATGGCACGGCTGGGTGTAAAGTAGTGCACTGCGGATTCTCTGTTGTGTAGAGAGACGGGCAGGTCGGTACAGGCGGGGACGATGCAAGTGCTCCCCCGCACCAATTCGTTGGTACAGTGGGGACACTGCATGGTTCCGTTTGAGCATTCGCGCACTCTTGTGTGGGAGTATATATTATTGGTGCTTGGTTGATTTCGTCTCTTTGTTATGGTAGGAGGTTGCGTTCGCTTCCCATGTCGTAGTATAGGCAATTGGTTTGTTTTCGGTTTTGAGTCATACTTCTTGCTTTCAAAGGACCACTAATGTGTATATTTTGTGTGTATCTTGGTGGACATGTGGGGGTGTAAACGCATCACGTTGAACGCGAGTGAAATGTCGCGACAACAGCACGTAATGAATCGATGTGCGGGCTCGCCTCGATGTTGTTTTCACCCCTGTCAAGTTCCTTTTCTGACAGGGAGGGGTGCTTTACTCGAATCGTGTGTGCTGTAACGCGTTTACTAAATACTGCTACAGCAGCTGTGTGTCTTGTGGTGCGTTGCAGGTGCTGGGGTACCCACTCTGCTGGGCTTGTAGACTGCGGCGCCCCTCTTGCTGTACATTGCTCCAGTGCATGCTTGGGGTCGATATTCGTGGTGTTTGTCCCGTGTTTTTTGGTCAGGCCATATGCAAGAAAAGGGTACAGCAGTAGCCATATGCAGAAAAAGGGTGCAATAGTCTCAGGTATTCTTGGGAGTATGTTTGTGTGTTGCTTGTTGCACCACCGCGGAAGAGCCTGGTACAGTTAGGCCACACAACGAAGGTTTGTTGTTCGCTGTCCAATCTCGTCGAGCTCTGTCGCCGTTCTTTGGAGTTGTCAAAAGGAGGATAATCAGAGTTACTCCCCTTCCATCCCCTCGTCTGTCAGGCTATGTTGGCCTTGTATTGTATCTCGTGAGTTAGGATGTTAGAGCATTCTTGAGAGGTTATTTGTTTTGTAATGGCTCGGAGTTGGTCGTACTTTCCATTTGCATTTTAGTCGTACTATACCATGGCATGTTTATTCCACACCGTGTCGTGGCCAAGCATGCATGTATTGTGTATTTGTGTGTGATGCTGCTGTCTTCAATTGATGAAGTTTATGCTGCTGGATTCGAAAACGACGCTGTGTAGATGCGGTTAAATACTTCCTTACAGCCAACACAAAGAGCGTCCCGTGTTCTTGATTCCATAGAGAATGACCTGACCAGCCGCAAGTTGCCCAATTGGGGTCGATAATCAACCAATCAGCACGTAGGTACGGACAGTTTCTGTTGCTTGTTTGTGTGGTTGCACCGGGGGGGGCACGCCAGACTTTGAGCATCGAAATTGGCATTCGCGAAAAGGGGCGGATTTTACTTTGGTTTCAGACAGGTGTCTATGCTTGAGTGTTTTGCCTCATCTCTCTCGCATGTGTCGCTTGATCCTCGCTTGATCCACGCGCACGCGTTCATAGGCTTCCTCCTGCGTGTTTTGACGGGGACTCTCGTTCGAGAAGCCAGCCGCAAAAAAAAGGAGGACCCGCCAGTCATAAATAGCCGCATCATCCCCGTGCAGGCTTTAACAACGAACGCTCCTCGGATCGAACCAGTGGCGCGTCAACGTACGTACGTGCGTTTATTTAGTTCTTCAAGGGGAAGTCGGACGGCGGCATCGGCGACCACAAGAACATCGATATTGCGGACTTGTGACGCGTAGAAATATTTTGGTGCAATTTAATACTGGTAGGCAAGAAAATGCGCCCCCCGGCGAAGAAACACACACACACATGGATGTTAAGGGCTGCCAAATACCTAGCCTCTGCCGGGGGTAGGGTGTTCACGTACGTACGTGCTCAACGGTGGTGTAGAGACACAACTTGGCGTTGTTCTGGTGACATCTCTCCCCCACTACCAGTACTCGTTCGGCTATTTCCTTGTCCTTCGGTAACCCCTTCAGGTATGTAGTCCCTGCAGCACTCAGTCGAAGCCGAAAATTTCCATTTTTTACTTCGTTTTACCGTATGGTTCGAGATCATCTCCGGTTTCTTTTCTAAAAGCAAGTAGTTTTCTTCGGTCGATGTTCTCGAGATTGCGGAGACAGATTTTCGAGTGAGGTCGAAGAGGTGTGTGTCCTGCCCCCGTCCGCCCCTCCTGCAATTTCGGTATCAAACCTTGCGTCAATTTTCGGGAAAGCAGGGTGGGTTTGGAAGAGCCCTCTGAGGGGGCTCGCAGATGGCATCCTGCATGCCGCCAGTTGCCTCCCGTTGTGATTCCTCCGCACTCCGCACACCCACACACCTCTTTGCCCATTTGCCCCGCACCAGCGCAAGCATACCCAAGGAGGTAGATTGGGACGGGATCAAACAACGAACAAGGGGAGGAGATACCGTAGCTCTGCGTTCAAAGTCTTGTAGTGGTGGCATTGAAAACGAGAGGAGCGTGATACTGCAAGCGAGATACCACACCGCCCCTGCGACCCGTTTTATTCCTTTCTTCGGTGAGTGGATTTGTTTCATTTTGCACCTCGGCCTTGCTCCCAAGTTATGGTACGCTCTTCCTTTGGGTCGGAGGCATGCTCAGGTGTTCATTCCATCTGGAAAGAATGCCGCGGCCAGCTGTACTATGTATGTATTTTCCCTTCCAATTACCGACAAGCGCTCTGTGTGAGCGTTTACAATACGCTGGTCCGTGGCCCCGCTGTCTTTTCGTTTCTTCCGAATCTGCGAGCAAAAAAAACACGAGTAACATCTTATCCGCGTGCGTTCGTTTCGAGTCGGCGGGAACGCGGAAGCGCGTTGCGACAAGACGATCTACTTTTCCGAAAGAGAGCTTCTCTCACGCAGTTAATCGAAATCCCAGCAACGTCGTCAATTGCACTGCTGTGCACAAGCAGTGCACAGCTTTCAGACTGCTGTTACAATTCTCCCGCAATTCGCTCTCAGGTAATTGGTGATCGGGAGGTGACTTTACTCCACATCGCAGGCACATCATTGGCGGGGTGTTTTCGGGATTGAAACTACATGTAGCCGTGTCGCTAAATCAACTTCGTGCAGGTTCCTTGAGCGATGGCTTCCACGGACCGTGAAGCACTGATTGCTTTGTTTCGTTCGACCGGCGGGGCTGGATGGCGGCGAAGAGACAAATGGGACACAGATGCTGTCCTAGCGACATGGTATGGAGTCGAAGTCGATGCCCAAGGCCGCGTGGTCAGGCTGGACCTGGACTTGAACAAACTCCAAGGTTAGTTCTTCGGCATTTTTTCTGATTGCCCGTGCTGTCCTCTACAAGACAACTGTGCTTGACTATCCTTTCGAGTTCGTGGAGTAAGATGCTTGGCGTTGACGGGGTACATGTTCCAGAAGCAGCAGTACCTTCGGTGATGCATATAAACGTCGTCTCTCTCTCACACACCTTTAAGCCGGTTTTCGTTCAGCCGAAGCTCCTTCGTCTTGGATAGAGCTCCCAGCTACTTGGGTATTGGCCCTGCACAAAGCAGCGCGGCGGGTAAAAAATACAAATACCGTGCGATGAAGCTTCTAGAACAACGGTCCTGCGTTGGCGTCCGTATGCATATGGGTATCTATAGAAGTCGAAAGGGATTCATGATACATTTCAAGGCTTCAACACTTGAGAAGGGCGGTACCAAATATTTCTGTGCCCAAAAAGTGATTCACCGCTAAGCTGGTTACTCGAAAGGGAGAGCTTCTTCAGTGCCGCAAGTTCCCAGCTCCGGTGGAATGGGGCCTTCAAGTAGATGAGCACATGTGAAATGTGCGGGGAGATTAAAAGTTAAATACCCAACTTCTAGAAACACCTACCCACCTACGCGTAGCAAAAGATATCCCGCGAGTTCCGCAATTGTGAAAATTCGTACTCGCCTACGCATCGGCGGGATTCATCCTGGACACTGGAACAAAATTACGTACCAGTTAGCTCGTTCCCCCCAAGGCTGAGGTACTCCAGTACGGCGAGCCGTCCAAGCTCCACAGGGATGGGACCTGCAATCGAAGGAGAAAAAGCGACAACACAGTACCCATAATGTAGCGGGAAGAACCAAAGCTAAATGCCCCGGCTTCTAGAAACACCTACTCTAACGCAACTCGTAGCAAACGATGTCCTGCGAGTTCCGAAATTGCGGAATTTCGTACTCACCCACGCGTACGCGTCGACGAAACTCCAGAACTAGCGGGATAACTATTATGACGCCAAGTACATACGCGGCATTCATGCTCAACTTCAGCCTCACCGGATAGCTGGTTGTTCCACAGTCGGAGCTGCACCAGCGCTGTTAGCTTGCCCAGCTCCGGCGGGATAGGCCCTGTAAGCAGACAAGCAAACTATATACATTGATCCTCAATATTTTATGTTCGATCTCCGTAGATCCATGGACGCGTACGTAATTGGCGTCACAAAAGTTACCCCGCTAGTTCTGAAGTTTCGTGGACGCGTACGCGTTGGCAGGACCGTTTTTCTAGACGCCGTGGGATTTATTTTATTTTCTCCCGCCAACTTCTCACTTTCCCTTCGTCTGGCAGGCAACATCCCGCCAGAGCTAGGAGATCTCCGACAGCTGCAGACGCTATATCTCAACGGCAACCGCCTGACAGGTACCTATTTTATATTGATGGTCGGCTTGGTTTTTTTCTAGCATTGGTCCATGGATGAATCTCGCCGATGCGTAGGCGAGTACGAAATTTCACAATTGCACGTAGCAAAAGATGTCCCGCTGATGATTTGTACTCTCTCTTCCGATTGCAGGTTCCATCCCGCCGGAGCTCGGAAACCTCACAGAGCTCAAGCAACTGTGGCTCCAGAGCAACGAGCTCACAGGTGAGGTTTTTTCATTTGTGGCAGAAACTTCAATTTATTCTCATGATTCCATGGATGAGTCCCGCCCATGCGTGGGTGAGTACGAAATTTCGCAATTTCGGAACTCGCGGGACATCATTTGCTACGAGTTGCGTTATTGAGTAAGTGTTTCTAGAAGCCGGGGCATTTAGTTTGATTCTTCCCGCTACATTATGGGTACTGTGTTCTCGTTTTTTCTCCTTCGATTGCAGGTCCCATCCCTGTGGAGCTTGGACGGCTCGCCGTACTGGAGTACCTCAGCCTTGGGGGGAACCAGCTAACTGGTAAGTAATTTTGTTCCAGTTTCCAAGATGAATCCCGCCGATGCATCGGCGAGATTCATCCATGGATTAATGCTAGAAAAAAACTAAACCGACCATCAAAATAAAATACGTACCTGTGAGGTGGTTGTTGCTGAGCCACAGCCACTGCAGCTGTCGGAGATCTCTTAGCTCTGGCGGGATGTTGCCTGCCAGAGGAACGGAAAATAAGAAGTTGGCGGGAGAAAACAAACTTAATCCCCCGGCGTCTAGAAAAATGGTCCTCCCAACGCGTAGGCGGGTACGAAATTTCATTCACAATTTCGGAACTCGCGGGACATCTTTTCCTACGCATTTTTTTTCTAGAACTGTCCTTAGTGATATTTCTCCCTACTGCATTCTTGCGCAGGACCCATCCCCAAGGAGCTGGGAGCACTTAGTAGGCTGGAGAACCTTTGGCTCCACCGCAACAACCTCACAGGTGAGAGAATCGAACAAGAGTTGAAAGTTTTCTTGTTCACGAAATAAGAATCCTGCCGACGCACACACGGGATTCATCCCGCACGACTTCTCACCGGTCAGCTGGTTTTTCAAAAGGTAGAGAGACTTCAGTGCTGCGAGCTCTCCCAGCTCCGGGGGAATGGGCCCTGGAGCGAAGTGCAAGCAGGAATTGAGCGGGAATTGAGAGGGGGAAAAAATAAAAATTACCCGGCTTCTAGAAAAGCAGTTACTCACACTAAATGGACGCCAACGCAGTTGGCGTCCACTCACTGGTCTAGAAGCCGGGGCATTATTTTTGTTTTGACCCGCAACCATCACTCCGTTTTCCTTCTTCCACTAACAGGTCCCATTCCGCCGGCGCTGGGAAAGCTCGCAGCACTTCAAAATCTGTACCTCTACGAGAACCAGCTAAGCGGTGAGACACTGTTTAGATTTGTTGAAAACAAATCCCATGAATTTTCAAGATGAATCCCGTGTATGCGTACGCGTCCACGAAACTTCAGAACTAGCGGGATAACTTTTATGACGCCAATTACGTACGCGTCCATGGATCTACGGAGATCGAACATAAAATAATGAGGATCAATCTAGTTTGCTTGTCTGCTTACAGGGCCTATCCCGCCGGAGCTGGGCAAGCTAACAGCGCTGGTGCAGCTCCAACTGTGG